TGATGCAAAAATAACAATGTAATTTACTTTTATATTGTTATTTATGTCATACACAAGCCTCATCTGACCTTTATAGGAAACGATCATAAGTAATGCATCACATTTTTCATAATACAATGCATTATTGTTTCTGAACTAGCAAAACAACCTAAATTAAGAATTTAATATCAAAAAAGGTTACTATTTATAAGCAAATTAAAAAAAAAACAAAAGGATACGTCCAGAATTGCACGAAATAACGTGATCTAACCAAATTTTTTTTTTTGCTCCATTACTTATGATCGCCACTGTAAGTCACTGTATGACCGTCTTATCATGATTTAAACAGGTCATTGATTCAAATTTCACCATTTATAAAGATTGGACACGCAATTACGCTTGTTACTACGGTTAAATTATCCGCATTCTTTTATTTTAGTACGCTATAAATCAAATGCTATTGTATAAAAAAATTGAATTCAGTAATTCGATCAAACAGCAATTCGATCAACAGCATATGCAAGGACCTGAGCAGCAAGATAATGCGATATCCTGTTCTTAGCAGATGAACTTTATTTTTTACGGTTATAAACGTTGAGAATCATGATACCTGCTTACATAGGTATATAGGTATGTACATACATACGTGTCGATAGGTAGGGGTTGCATGAGATTAACACCACTAAATGCATTATATTCCGTTCCTAATACATAATGTGAGATACAAATATATCTGCGTGAAAGATTATAATAGTACGTATTGAAAATTTATAACATCTCGGTCTTAACCAAACTCACATTGAACTTTTAAAAGATTCTTGAATTTTACGATCAGATACCGTTATTATCGCCGGATTAAATATCAACTAACCGATTTTTTAGTCTAGTTCGTATGTACGTTGTTGATCTTAATATTGCATTTATTGATGCAAGTAAATTACGGTTACTCTCGTTACGAAATATATATATTTGTTTAGCATTCAAATTTTCTTTAATACTTTTTGTTCATAAAAAATTTAAAAATATTCTTCCTTACACTTAAATTTACATACTATATTTATCAATTTCTATTTTATTTATTTTTGATTATATACGTATTATCCAATCATTTTATTACAAAATTGTACAACATTACTCAAATCCACTACTTAAGATAGTGAAACCACTATTAAACCTTAACATCGAGTCTCTAACCTGTTGCTTATAAAAGCAAATAAGGATTACCATTTTTTAAATATATGTCAATGGATGTCAATGTTGAGTCCTTAAGAAAAATAGTGTAAACCATTTTGGATTCATTAGACACATGATATATTCCATATACTCCGGATCTGTTTATTTTTACTACAAATACTGAAATACAAAAACAAAAATAATAATTACATCATTCGCTATTTCTTAAAAAAGATTTGATTCTCGAAAAAATAAAAAAAAACTATTCTCTTTCGTGGGAAATTTTCTTTTTAATATTATTACCTTAATATCTTCTTAATCATAATATAATATGATTATATCATTATAATTTCATATAATACTTTTTTTTTATCATAAAAAATGTCTTCGACTACCTCCGACGAATCTAATGAAAATGAACCATCCGAAAAACAGCAAAGATTTCCCGCAATTCTTATAATTGGAGAAGTTGGTCTGTCTCCCAAATAAGTTATAAAATATCTAATTTTCATTTCTTTTCTAAATATATAAACCTTTATCTTTTCCTTATCTTTTCCAATAGGTGTAGGGAAAAGTACCGTGGCCAATATGATGCTTGGCAGGCATCGTGATGGTAGTCCACTTACGGTATCTTTTTTAATATATTTAATATATTTAATATGTTTAATATGTTTAATATGTTTAATATGTTTTATCTGATTTCGTTCAATGTCATTTATAAACTTTTCTTAATTTCTTTCTTTAGAAATCAGGCGAAGTCCAACCATATCCAATTAAAATAAATGAAATAGATTACATTTTAATTGATACTCCGGGTTTAATACCATCTGATGAGCAATCAAGTCGTGATTCAAGTCGTGACATTATATCACAAATTGATGAATTAATTCAAAGTATAGATCAGTACCTTGAAATTGTTTCAATTCTATTGGTTTTAGGTTTGTGTTTAAAGTGTTTAAAGTGTTTTAAGTTCTTACAATTTCCTTAATTATTTATTTTAATTTTAAAATTATTATTTATTAAATTATTTATTAAATTATTAATTCTTAATTATTAATGATTAATTATTAATTATTATGATTTTTTTTCTTTAAGAATCAAACAGAATGTCTAAAGCTCAGAAAGAAAATTTTCGCCAAATTATAAATGCTTATTGGAACATTATAATAATAGTATTCACAAAACGTACACAGGATCAAACAACTTCAAGGCAATATATGGAAACAACATTTGATACTGAATTAAGAAGAACTGTTGGTAAACGTGGTATAATTACTGGTCGTTGGGTAATTGCTCCAAATCTTG